AAGATCTGGGGAAGAGATCAGATAGGGAAAACGTCCGAAAAGGGATCGAAAATGCACTTCATATCTTCTTGCCTACGACATACTCTCCACGAGAAGAGCTTGCAAATGTGACATTTCGGTTGTTCTCATCGAAGTCGTCCATCTTCTTTGGAGCAGGCAGCGCGCGAGGAGTTACGATGAAGTACTGAAAGTATCTACTAACGCGTCACGCACCGACACCGTTTATGGTCTTACCGCGCACCTCTCGCAGCATTTTTTGGGCTTTTGAGCTCCACGCATGTGCGTGTGCTGCACTTGGTAAAAGCGAACAGTCTTGTATTCCGCGCATGCTAAATTTTATATTGGAATAAATGGTTCCGGTCTAGGTTTTCGTGTGTGGAGAACAACATGTGTGCGCATGTTTTCCTCCTCTAGAGAAATTTTACATTTTTTTGAATTCATCTTTTTAGCAGTGCGTTCAATTCTTCTTCTTGTACTATCCGACCCGTACATTTCTGGTTATCAGCATGCCAATAATCCTTTAACAATATCTTCTATATTCTGAACATATCATAATGTTATGCAATGTTCTGATCAAGCGTGAGAGGGACTGAAATTTTCCTGCCAATCCCGGTGACGTTCCACACATCATCCTCACTTTACTTGTGTCGTGAATTTCCTTCGTATCAACTGACTGCTATTGAAACAATCAAGGGTGCACAATTTCCTGACCAGAACACCCACCGGAGAAAAGATGAAATGTTACAAGAAATTATGCCATTAAGTTTACCACAGGGTAGAAACATGGCAAGCAGTACACTGGAAATTGTTAGGTTGCGGTAAATGTTACTCAGGGGGGTGGGGCGCTGTCTGGACGTAACTCATTTTTTGTGGTGACAGATTCTTCTACAAATAGTTTGTTCTCCACAGTCAAAAATATGCGTATAACCTCTTGCCAAATTACGTTACCGAAGAAAACATAGCTATTGAGTTCAAATCGGATGAGCGCGGCACGCAATCTGTGTAGTTTTCTCACGTTTTCTTCCAGACGGCTCTCTGATACCTTTTAAAAATGTGTAACGATGTTTCGAATTTTTGAATAGCACTTTTGTTACACTAATCGCCAGCAGCATTTTGGGCTTAACTGCTTCTATAAAAGCGCATACTTTGTCGTTCACAGTATTTTCAATTATTTGTTCATGACAATGAAAAGAAAGCCAAGCATGACCGACCTATTCTCGTAACACATAGAAAGCCTCTGTAACAAAAGTATTTTCGATCACTCTGTGAAGTGCGTCGTTTATAGGAATGATTTTAAGAACAAGTGCAAAACCATGATAAAAGTGCATGCGCAAAAATTGTCGACATGTGTGCAGCGCGCAATCGCGTCATGCTCTCCTACGCTGCCTGCAAAGTGCAGCGCGATGGCGCGTCACATTGTCGTCAGTGCGTTAGAGTATCAGAGATTCGGGACATGCTGTCGTCGCCGTGCTTGTACGCACAACTACAGAGTGCAGGCGGGGATCAAGGCTCCCCAGGGAAAGGCGCACCGCTCGGCGCTTATAGAATCATTTGTGAAAAAAATTTGTGGTAGGACTACGCTTCAGGCAGTGTTCCTCAAAAATCTCCTGTCCCTTACATTCGGATTGAGCACCGAAACGCGTTAAATTTTATGGTAGACGTTGACTGATGATCTAAAGTAGGAGTTTCGTACACTTCCGTGGCCGTTAAGTTAATCTTGATGTTATGTGTCGTTTTCAAAAATTTGCCTTCACTTCTGGAAGAACGCAATGAATGCTTCTTCACGTCCTCACAAATCATGGTATTAAAACGCTCCTCAAATGCAAATGTAATCCGATTTCCTGTAGAAACGGTCTTGGGAAGATTTTTTTCCACTTCGCGTCCTGTGTTTTTTTTATAGGAATTAAGAAATTTTTGTAGAATACATCGAAATCATGATTGTTCATCTTGTTTATTTGCTTGTTGACCGTAGCAAATTCTACAACATGAGTATATGAATCTATATGTACTTTGATAGCTTCGATATTCATCACTGCCAAAACGAACAGAAAACCTTTGCTTCGTTTGAGAAACATTGAGTTGTTACGATATTCTAAGAACAGCGTGTATTCACTGTCATCATATATCAAGTGATTTTGTTGTCATTTCCTTTTTCTGCCATTCGTATCAACACAAGCACATTCGGAAGATTTTGATTCAAATCATTAAGGTTCTCTTCCGGAACGAACTTATATCTTGTGATTTGTTATCCTTCTTGTTTTTGAACCTATAAATATGCTGTTGCACATGACTCTGTAAAAACATTTTTGCATTTGCGAATGAATATTGTCTAATCGATCAAGAGATTTTTGATGACAGCAGCTCAGAACTCAGCAGGAAGGCATACGTAGAGAAGTAGCAAACCAGTCCTTCCAAATGCACACTCAAAATCAAATAGCTGCTTGCAGGATGATTGCTTTTATAAGAACAATGTCGTCAGCAAAGGTGAGGTGATATAGCTTCCGGTCGTTCTTAACCCTCATCCCTCTTAGCGCATGACGTTCCGTTGTGAAGAGCAGTACTGAAAAGTTTGGCAAAGGGGTAAGTTTCTTCTGCGTTGTTGAGTTCCCGAAAATCCTCACACTAAGAGGGAGTTACCCGGTTGCCTGGAGCCTTAACCACCTGTCTGTCTCAGTGGAGTCAAAGGAGTTCTTCAACTTCACGAGCAGAATATAATGGCATTTTGTACTCGAGTCTCGTTAACGTATGGATTTTGTTATTCGTGGTGAACTCCTTTGAAATCCTTTTTTGCTCTCATGACTTCCCTTCATCCAGTGTTCTGTCATCCTGGTGATGATGTTGACTTAGATGGAGAATTTGTAGACCACAGACACAAGCTGATAGTTGCAATATAGTGCGAAACTCTCTCCCTAGAAGGTAAGGTAAACTCACTGCAAAGAAGTAATTACCGTAGAGCGAAGCTTCACCCGTCAAACTTTGAGGATGGAATCCACAATCCACTATCTTGGTAGTTGTCTAAATAACAGATACCTGAAAAAATTGTGCGTAAAAAAAGCTGCTGTGTCGCCGAACGGACAGCTCAGCTATGTAGGATGGTCCAGTATGCTGAATCAAGGGAAAATGCAAGCGTCTTCTGAAGTGA